CAACAACTTACAACAAGATTGTAAACGATTGAGTAAAATACTAATGATTAAGTAAATTGTATGCAAATGAACCAAATACATGTAATCAAATAGGTTAAAATGATAGGGTATAAAAGTAGAGGAAATCTGTGATTAATCAGAGAAACTAAGAAAGACAAAAGAAGAAAAGAGAAGGAACGGAGTGAAAAGGTAAGGCAGAAAACAAGTAAGTACTGCGGAGTGAAGAAAAAAAGATTTCAGTTAAAACTCCGTAAAGAGTGTTACTTTTAAAAAACCATTTCAGTAACCATACTGTGGGACACGTCAACGTTTCCCGCAGGACACGGTCGAGAATCCAGGCTCTCCACAAGACGTATTGTTAATCCTCTCCAGCTGCCGAAGATTCTGGCATCACGGTTTGATCTTCCTTTTCGGATGTTTAAGGCTTTCTCCATCCCTCTGCTATTGACAAACTACCCTACCAACATACTGGTTAAGAACATCATCACAAGAAACCTGCACCTGTTACGAAATGATTCTGACACAGCAGCATTTTGTCAGCAAAATTTACGCATTTTATGTGCGTATTGCCGTGAAAACCACTGAAGAAGAGGGAGCCGTCTCGAAGCGACTGGTTTTCCAACTTTTTTAACGCTTACTTTGAAAAACGTTGACCTTCTCTCCCTCCCAGCTCTCTATCATGAAAACTATTAAAAGGTACGGAAAAAGGACCTTGGGCCCATCCTTAAAGACATGGCACCTTCCACTGACGACTGTGGACTTCACGTTTTTTTTTTCTTGTAAGTCTACAGAATGATTTCTGTGACACACTGAAAAATTACCATGCAGTATTACATCATGACCACGCTAAAAAACAGTTATACTGGCAGGTTTTCATTTCGTGGACCAACCTGCTACAAATGTGGCCAAGTTGGCCACAAAGCTCGTGTTTGAACAATTTAGCGTTTGATTACCACAGTCCGAAATTCAACAGCAGCACATTCAATTATAGCGCAGACAATCAAAGAACACCTCAGAAATCTTAAGCATGCAAGCCACTTGTGAACTAAGCATGTTTGTACACAATTAAACTACTAATAAGTGTGTAAAACATTTTGTAGACAAAAAAGTACGGCTAAGAAGCACAATCTGTTCCAAGTTAATAACAGCCGGAACTGCACTCCTTAAAGAGGAGACGTGCAAGATACATGTATGAGACCACTGCAGCTTCAGCAGCGTCACTGTGATGCTCACTGGAAAATCAGAGAATTAATACAAACCTTGGTTTCGTCTTTATAAAGATTCAATAAATTTTGTAAATTTTGCCAGAAGAACTTTGACCATATCATAGGTCAGACGACTCCACCTTCACCTCATTTACCGCCAGAAGAAAAAACAGGAAAAAATTAATACTGAACCTGAACAAGACTTTGACGTTTAAGAGATGGCAGAAAACCAAATACAGCAAATTCAACAACTTACAACAAGATTGTAAACGATTGAGTAAAATACTAATGATTAAGTAAATTGTATGCAAATGAACCAAATCCATGTTATCAAATAGGTTAAAATGATAGGGTATAAAAGTAGAGGAAATCTGTGATTAATCAGAGAAACTAAGAAAGACAAAAGAAGAAGAAAGAAGGAACGGAGTGAAAAGGTAAGGCAGAAAACAAGTAAGTACTGGGGAGTGAAGAAAAAAAGATTTCAGTTAAAACTCCGTAAAGAGTGTTACTTTTAAAAACAACCATTTCAGTAACCATAATTCTGGTGCATATTGCGCGGCTCCATACTGTGGGACACGTCAACGTTTCCCGCAGGACACGGTCGAGAATCCAGGCTCTCCACAAGACGTATTGTTAATCCTCTACAGCTGCCGAAGATTCTGGCATCACGGTTTGATCTTCCTTTTCGGATGTTTAAGGCTTTCTCCATCCCTCTGCTATTGACAAACTACCCTACCAACATACTTCTTAAGTACATCATCACAAGAAACCTGCACCTGTTACGAAATGATACTGACACAGCAGCATTTTGTCAGCAAAATTTACGCATTTTATGTGCGTATTGCCGTGAAAACCACTGAAGAAGAGGGAGCAGTCTCGAAGCGACTGGTTTTCCACCTTTTTTAACGCTTACTTTGAAAAACGTTGACCTTCTCTCCCTCCCAGCTCTCTATCATGAAAACTATTAAAGGTACGGAAAAAGGACCTTGGGCCCATCCTTAAAGACATGGCACCTTCCACTGACGACTGTGGACTTCACGTTTTATAAGGACCATGATTATAATGAACTCTTTAATGACTTTTGCTACTGTATTACCTTATTTTATAGCACATCTTAAAATTATAACCTGTATGATGTAGATGTAATTCCATTAACCTTTATAGTGATATATTATATTTATATGCGTCTTGTAAAGAACGCTGGGTAGCTTAGACCAGCTTGTAAGTGTACAGAATGATTTCTGTGACACTGAAAAATTACCATGCAGTATTACATCATGACCACGCTAAAGAACAGTTATACTGGCAGGTTTTCATTTCGTGGACCAACGTGCTACAAATGTGGCCAAGTTGGCCACAAAGCTCGTGTTTGAACAATTTAGCGTTTGATTACCACAGTCCGAAATTCAACAGCAGCACATTCAATTATAGCGCAGACAATCAAAGAACACCTCAGAAATCTNTACGAAATGATTCTGACACAGCAGCATTTTGTCAGCAAAATTTACGCATTTTATGTGCGTATTGCCGTGAAAACCACTGAAGAAGAGGGAGCCGTCTCGAAGCGACTGGTTTTCCAACTTTTTTAACGCTTACTTTGAAAAACGTTGACCTTCTCTCCCTCCCAGCTCTCTATCATGAAAACTATTAAAAGGTACGGAAAAAGGACCTTGGGCCCATCCTTAAAGACATGGCACCTTCCACTGACGACTGTGGACTTCACGTTTTTTTTTTCTTGTAAGTCTACAGAATGATTTCTGTGACACACTGAAAAATTACCATGCAGTATTACATCATGACCACGCTAAAAAACAGTTATACTGGCAGGTTTTCATTTCGTGGACCAACCTGCTACAAATGTGGCCAAGTTGGCCACAAAGCTCGTGTTTGAACAATTTAGCGTTTGATTACCACAGTCCGAAATTCAACAGCAGCACATTCAATTATAGCGCAGACAATCAAAGAACACCTCAGAAATCTCAAGATACTGCTTTAGATTAACTGCTTTTGCCGATACTCAGTTGCTCCCTATCCAAGAACACGAGACAAGTGTCAACCAATATCGGGAATTTAGTTCAGGATTTCATTCGATGTTTTAAATCTGCAATGTCACAGAGCTTACAAACACAGACTACTTCTCATTTGCTCAAGTTAACCATTATGCAGAGTGATGAAATGGAATAATCTTCTATAAATTTGTTAATGCAGATTTTTTCCCAACAAGTTTGAGTGCCATGAAACGTTGTTCACTTATAGTAAACACAACTTGATTTACTGTTTTTATTGGTAAATGATTTCAGGATTTAAATCTCCGAATACCTATTAACCAAATGCTATTCCCATTGTTGCATTACAACATCCACTTGGTCACCAAGGGTAGTACCCAAAACCTTGGCATTGAAGAACACAATGCCTCTTGGCTGGCAACAATGTTTTCACTTTATGGGCATAAGAGGCTGTGCCTTTAAAGGGGACCAGTTTGGTAATAAGACATGAACGTTCAGAATATAAATGAGAGTGCAATGCAGGGTGATGTATACACCATTTCTAAGGATACTACATCCAAGTTGCCCTACAAGAGTCTTCACTGTTGTCAAGTGACTAACACCTGAGAAGTGAAACTTTGGAGGATACATTTGCCAACCCTGAAAGTCAGGAGCAAACAGCCTACGTGTGAAGACGTGGCACAAGTCCCACATTTGTCGACTCGTGTGTGTCAGAGTCAACAACAGAGATGGTGTTGGGTTTAGTCTCCTATGAAGTAACAGAAAAGTTGCATCAGATCCAACCCACTACAAGCAGTCTAAAGCAGAATCCTTCGATGTATGATCCATCAAAGGTTTATTTAACTTAACATGACTTGCTTTTGCACGTGACGTTTCACTAAACAAGCAATTAACTATTGCTCTGGCAAAATTAACAATCACCAGGTCAGATGACGAGGGGGTAAGATCAGAAAATGAACTCAAAACAGTTAATCTGTCACAACAAGTGGTGTAAAGAATCAGGAGATACCTTTCTTGCAATTCCTGTAGAACCAGAATAGAGGAGAAAGATAAAAAAGTTTGGAAATGAGCACAATGTAGTCTTTCGCAACTACAGCAGAAATACCGAACGAGGATTTCACTTAGATTATGATTCTCGATACAAAATTTCTGTTCCCAGAAATGCGTAATTTTAGCCTTCCTAAATAAATAACAAAGACATAAATACCTTATTTAAATGCTAGCAGTTATAAGCCCAACAAAACTAACAGGGGTCGTTTAAAATGTTAAACGGTTTGCTGGAGTGTAGAGAGTTGACTGTATGCTCGACGCTTTTTTATCTGCACGCGAAAATTATTAAACAAAATAAATACTATAAACGAAACAAAACGTGACACAAAATAAAGTACATAATAAACAAATCATAGTGGCAAGGTTACGACAAGAAAAGTTTAAGCGATAAGAATCATAACTACCTTTATAAATAAAAAGAACGATTTCATTGTGAACTGACATGGAAATAAATTTTGCGATGTTTACCGTATATAAATGACAGTATCAAATTACTAGGAAGCAAATGCTACAAATTTTGAGATTTTTCTATTTTAATGATGACTTCTAAAACGGCACATTGTAAATTTTAACTATAGAGGACAAGAAAGAAAAAAAAAGAAGAAAAATATTCATCGATATTCGGCAAATCGTCTATTAAACCTGACACGCAAAGTTTGCGCTTTAGAGCGAATTTGTTTAAATGTGTTCCATCTAGCGCAAGCGCGTGTGTCGCTGACAGGGTCAGGGAAAGTTTTTCATGTCTCGTGCTATTTACGGAGTCAACTATTATGGTATATTTTTGTCCTAAAATTCACTAAAGGAAATAAATTCTTGCCATTCTTTCGGGCTTTACGCCGACCATGTCAAAAATTACGAATTTTTTCACGCTCAGAGCCAGCAGTGAAGGTGAGAAGCGCTAAATCGCGTATTTAAACAACGGCAACGACAACAAAGACAAAAAAGACGAACTGCCACCTCAACGCTCAAACTTCTGTTGAAGAAGACTCCGGTGACAACGCCCCACATGAAGAAGGTTTTTTAGCAGGCAGTCAAGATTGCTACAGCTCCCATATTAGTTGCTGGAATAATGTCTTCTAGTTTTCTTTCATAACGTGCACTCCCGCTACTACCGTGAAAAAAAATGTTCTGGTCTTCGAACAGACGAGAAACAAAGGTTGTCAAACAAGAAGGACAGGTTCCAACATGAGTGGGTCTTTGAAGCAAATGTATCTTATGAAAAGACAGGGTTAAGATGGCTGGTGTTTGTTGAAGGTGAGGGAATGTATTGCTTGATTCTGACAAATGTGCGAGTCAACAAAACAAATCCGACATTTTCAATGAGAAGCTTTCTGTAAGATACAAAACAACAGTAATCAACGAACATGCACAGTTGCAGAAACATTCGGCAGGAATATCATGCGAAATGATGAACTGAGTTTCCGTTTTCCAAAGGGAACTGGATGAGCAGCAGAAAGTGAACGACACCATTCTCTACAGTGTTTTATTCAATTTACCGGCTAGCTGAAGAGGGAATTGCAAACAAAAAAGCAACGAGTTTTTTCATCCTTCTCGAGAAGCTAGGAATAAATCATCTGAAGTACTTTGGTCATCGATCACCAGCATCAGTGCGAGAAATGTTTAGTACCCTGGGCTGTGCAGTGAAAGAGAATGTTGTAAAGGAGGCAAAGACAGCAGGATGGACTCCTCGATGACGTGTGAGATATAGCAGTCATGAAACAGGTGATTACATCTATCCAGTTTTACGATGACGACAGCAGTGAGATCACTGTACTGGTCCTCTCAGTTGACAACCCGTTAGAAATGCAAGACTCTGCAACGCCACGGCTATGTTTCAGACAATTCAATGTTATTTGCAGGCACGTACTCTTTCTATTGTCAAATTAATTGGATTGGCAACAGACGGAGCCTCAGTCATGGTTGGGAGAAGAATGGCCTCGCAGCGAAACTGAAAGATGTAAATCCCCGTTTCAGTTCACTGTATATGTCACAATTCAGCTTTGGCATGTATTGATGCCAAAGATGAAGCAAATTTGAAGTTCATCAAAGAGGTAGAAACAGTGGTAACAAAACTGTGGAAGCTCCTTTAAATACTGGCCAAAGCGACTTGCTTGTTACTCAGTAACAGCAACTGAAAAAGCAGTCAGTAACAGCAACTGAAAAATCTCCAGCTAAGTAATGAAAAGTCAAGAAAGATGATGACAAAAAAGTTAAAATAGGCTTGTGACACGCGGTGGCTGTCATTGTATAGTGCAATCCAATCCTCGTATGCTGATCTTGTTGCTGTACTTCAAACCCTCAAGATGTTGAAACACGACTCAGACCAACCTGCAGCGTATGGCTTATTGAACAAGATTAACAAAGTGAAACTCATTGGTGTAGTAAACATTTTGAAATGGATTCTTCCTGTTTTGGCGACCCTTAGCAAATCCTTCCAGAAAGGCGCTTTTAATTATGCCTCAATTAAGCCCTCAATCGATTACAGCAAAGACAAGCTGAATGACGTCAAGATCACAGAAGCACCCATCAAGCAACTTAAGCAAGATCTTTCAGGAGGTGGTTGTCTTGAGACCCTAACTGGTGTGCACTGAAGTAAAGCCAAAGATCAACAGGGACTTCTCCAGAAATACATCAAAGCCCTTGTCAAGAACATCGACAAGAGGTTTAAGTCTCCTCTGCCAGTACTCAGGGCATTTTCAGCATTTGATCCCATGCTGATACCAAGCAAGCAAAGTCTTGCATTCCATTGCCACGGAGATGCAGAAGTTAAGGTTCTAGCTGACCATTTCTTTGATGAAAGCGAGGCAGACGAATTTAAAACGGAATGGAAGAAGCTAAAGTACGATTTGCTGTCATGGAAAGAACACACCTAGTGGATGACAAGAAAGACACACCTACTGAGTGGTCGCTTAAAAGAGTCACGGCCATGAATTGGGCAACATTTTGACAGTTCTATCCGAGATCTGCTCAGGAAGCAGAAGCAGCACTGGCAATCCCAATGTCTAATGCTTGCCTGGAGAGAGGGGCAAGTCAGTTGAAATTGGTCAAGAATAGGATAAAAAGTCAGATTAAGAACGACTTACTTCCCTCTCTCCTTCATATCTCTATCAATGGCCGTTCCACATACAGAAGCTTTTGTTTCTTTGGTCAGCAAAGCTGTGGACATGTGGAAAGATGCAAAAAAGAGAAGAAAACTTCCATACCACAAGCACACAGCCAGAAGCCAGCAGTGAAATTGAGCCTGTCACTCCCACCACGATCGTACAAGATATAGGGACACAGACAGATGCAACATCAACCACTGAGCTGCAGAACATCCAAGAGGAGTATGAAAAGGCAATAAGTCTTCTTAATCTCGGAGACATGGTTGAGGAAAAGCTAGACTCTCTCGAAGCTTTTACTAAAAGCGTGGAGAGTGATGACAGTGAAGACAGTGGAGTCGATGAATAGATTCATGTTGTCTCTCAGCAGCATAATTAAAAATATAAAACTGTTCTAGTGAGGCCTTAAACTGTTGTTTAAAAAATGTAAAATCCGAAAGCCAAGCTTTCGACGATCAACGGCATCATCAGGGATGAGAAAATATTCCGCGTGCGCTTTATATATGCAAAGAAGGTGAAGGGTGAAACGTGTAAAAGATGTGACGTATGTATGAAAGCTATAGAAATAAACTGTGAATTGAATACAATGCTTTGTATTGTAGAGCAAATTCTTGAAGAGCAATTGAGCACGGGAATCTTGGAAAGATTTGCTGCAGAGAAGGACAATGAGAAGGAAAACGTACGCTACCTTCCACACCACGCCGTGATACGAAGAGACCGCGAAACAACCAAACTGAGGAATGTGTACGATGATTCAGCCAAGCACGCTGAATGTACTCACTCGTTGAACGATTGACTTATTCGACACACTGGTTAACTTTTGCTGGCACAAGATTGGTCTTACGGCTGACATAGAAAAGGCCTTTCTCATGGTTGGAATCAACGAAACGATATGCTGAGATTCTTGTGGTTTAAGGATCCTGATGATCTGAACTCTGAAATTGTACATTTGAAGTTCACCCGTCTCGTGTTCGGACTCAGACCATCTCCAGGTATTTCGACTTCAACGATTCAACACCATTTAGACTCACAAGTGACTGAAGAATTCAAGCCGCATTTCATTGAGCTCTTGAAGAAATCCCTCTACGTACACGATCTTGTTACCGGCAAAGGACGTGAAGCAAAGGTGTTGGAGCTGTGTTGGAAGTCCGAATCACTTATGCAACAGGGAGGATTCAATTTAAGAAAATGAAACACGAATTCAAAGAGTGCAAGAGGTGATCAATGGACTGAACTACCGCGCGAATCAAACAACTGAACCTGGAAGCACGAAGACCATTACTGAAGAAGACGAATTGTACGTAAAGACTACGAACGGACCTCCAACTGCGGCCGACAATACCTCCGAAAACGCAATCGTTTAAGTTGTTGTCGTCTTTTCGCTGTTCTTCAAGATTCATTATTTAATTCTCAGTGTCTCAGTATTCTACAGTTCAAGTTAATTAGCATTCACGCGTCGAAATCAGCTCGCCTCTTTCACTTCTACATTTCCAGGATAAGCGTGATTTACAGAATGATTCGCTGAAAAAAGGAAAAACCCAAATATCCTGGTAAGATATTCGCTCAAAGGATGAAAAAACTCTAAGCAAAAACTACTTACACTAGCGTGAATCTCCGAGTCTTCGTTTCTAAATCTGAATTCTTCTGTTCACGTCCACTACTAGCTCAAACTGAATTTTTAAATATAGCGCTAGAATACAAAATACCCTTAGGGAATCCAAGGGACGCGTTGCTATCGGCAACGCGGATTTAATTTATAACATTCCGCCCCCCATGAACCCTCGGCTAAACAAGGGTTCATAAAATTCATAAGTTCATAAATGTTCGTTCAGGTTTGTACAATGTTCTTTAAAGTTCATCCTTATTCATCATTTACTCCTTCTAATAAGCACAACTTGGTCACTGGACTTTTAAGCGTTGCTCCCTTCGACTGCACTTCCACAGTCCTCACCAATCCATCTGCTCCGGGAAACACGGTTTCGACTCGTCCCAAGGCCCATTGATTCCTTGTAACGTTATCATCAGCCACCAGAACAATGTCTCCAACGTGAAGGTTCCTTTTTTCCTGTTGCCACTTGGGTCTCTCCTGCAAAGTTGGTACGTACTCTTTAAGCCAGTGTCTCCATTAGTGATTGGCCAGTAATTGTGCTTGCCGCCACCTTTTTCACCTAGGTGATCAGCTTCTTCCGGTGAGAGCTTACGGGCATAACCCTTGCCAATGTATTCCTTCATCACCGCACAGTATCTCTGCTCGAGATCCTGGTCTCTAGGGAATCTCCTTTTCAGGCTGGACATTCTCCTCTCTGCTTCACAACGGTTGTTGGGTAACCGGACATCTTCTTTACGCCACAACAGACCTGTCTCATAACGCCCGTCAGACAACCTGGTCGTTCTTTGCAAAGTTTCAACTGCGCGCATGTCTTCCCTGGACCAGTTATGCGGTGCTGATAACCTGTTAACGTGTTCGCCTTCTCGACTTCCAGGGGCTCCTTGCGTACCAAAGGCGTCTAACTTCCAGAAATCTTCAACTAACTCACGCTGATTCTTTTCGCAATTTGTAAAGTTCATACTGATCTCCTTGGAGGAAAGATGCCCCTCAACCACTCCAGTTACAACCCACCCCAGAGGGCCTCGCAACGCCTTCAGACGGTTGTCAGGTGAGGTAGGCTTTCGAACTTCGAACACCTCATGAGCATAATCTACATCCTTTCCTATGAGAACGGAAACAGCTTTGACCTGAACCTCGGGAATCTCTATATCTTTCAGGTGGGGATAGCGACTGTTATCAATGTCCTCAGGAAGACACCTTTCTGGTATATTGAACTTTTCTGACACTAGCCCCTCTTCCACTTTGATAATTTCTCCTGTCCCTGTAGCTGACTGCAACTCGAAGCGCACCAACTGGAAATGTTCGCTCGTTTTCTCTACAACAGTGTTCACGGTCACAAACTGTGGCGGTCCTTTTAAACCCAGACTGTTCGCAATGTTCTTGCTGATAATAGTTCCTCGAGAAGCATTGTCTAGTAATGCATAAGTTGTTAGTGAAGAACCACTCGGCGCAATTACTTTAACTGGCACAACGTGCAGTAAAATAGTTCTTGAAGGAGCTTCCGTAATGGTTGCGTACTGTTCCATCGCTCTTGGATTTTCAGGAAATTGCGTCCCTTGATCCTTGTATTGGATATTGGCCTGTGCTGCCTGTATATCCCTTTGTCTGTCCAGATGGGGATCCTGTGCAGTAATGGCGTCTCTCAGTCTAGGGGGATTATGCAACAATCTGTGATGACGCCTGTCACTTCCACAACTACAAAAGATTCTTGATTCACACCGAGCTCGCATATGACCCGATTTCAAACAGACATGGCACAATTTGTTCTGCTTAACTATATCCCACCGATCTTGAATTTCATCAGATATAAATCGCTCACACTCAGCAAGCTCATGGTCCTTAGAGCAGCGCAAGCATCGCCTAAGGTTGCGTTTCTCAGGGTTCTGATAATAAACGCTTAAGCCTCCGGCTTCGAGGTCTGTATGAAACGCGTTAGTGTGCCCTCTTGAATTAGAAGTCGGCCCCTTGATACTCATTGCGTTCTGCCTTTCCGGCTTCTTTTCAGCGACAAATCCCGGATCGTTCTTAATTGCCGCCTGGCGCCTGACAAACTTTGAAAGATCTGACAGCCGTGGGATTCCTCCCTTTTCCCGAATGCTATATGAAACTTCTCCCCATTTATTTACTAGATAGTTCGGTAAGCGCGTAACTATTTGTCGCAGGTTCGCCATTGTACTAGCTTCTAGTTCATAATGCCCGGAAAGTTTCTTTGAGGCAGCCTCGAGTTGCTCAGCGAAATTAAGTAAACCAGTATAGTCATTGTTCTGCAGCTTCGGCCCCTTCGTCAAACTTTCTATGCACGCGGCAGCGACAGCGGCTGGCTGACCATAGCGCTCGTGTAAAATTCTTAGGACTGAATCGTAAGAACATCCCGAGACTCTCTCGACTACTTCATAGGCTTCGCAGGACAAAAACTTAGGAAGAAATTCTAATTTCTGACTGTCATTCAAGATTCCATCCTCCAAATTGTCGCGAAGTCTGTTTCTGAAGGTTGGGTAATCACTTGGGTTTCCTGAGAATTTAATAGGGTGCATTCCCTGAAGCATCGTTAGCTTTAGCAGGATAGCTGAAGTCTGGTTACCCTCAATAACGGGCTTGTCCCTTTGAGTTTCGTTCTTAGGCGTCTTGCACCCCTCCCCAAGTGGATCTTTTTTCCCGCCCTGCTCAGGGTCGTGTTTGGGCTTTTTATTCTTATCAGCACAGCTCGCTCTCCATTTCTCAATCTTTTCTTCATCACTCATTGTCGGTAGAAACTCAAAACCACTTTTACCCCCCAGACCGCGTTGGCTGCTGCTATCGCTCCTATCATCTTCTAAAAGCTGGGCCTCTTTCTCGGCTATTTGGATCTGAAATTTTAGTTCGCATGCTCTTTTCTTCTTTTCAAATTCCAGTTCAATTTTCTTTCTCTCCATGTCAAGTTCAAATTGTGCCAGTTCTTGCTCTTGCTCTAATATTAACCTTTTCATTTCGATATCCCTTCTTAAATCTTTTAATCTCGATCGTTTCGAAGAAGGCGCTGATTTAACTGACTTTCCTTTAGTACTCGTTTTCTTCATTTGCGTTAAACAATCATTAATTCTTATTATACATTCTTCATACTGAACTACTATTTCTGTGTACCTGTCTTGCACACGATCAAGTTCGCCTTCCGGCAAGTTCTTCGCGATATAATTCTCATAAAAACTGTCGTACCTCTCCCAAGCCACATCTAATTCCTTTCGAACACTCTCTAAGTTGCCGACTCTCTTATCCGAGACGCAGGCATTTGCGTTCCTTATCCACGTGCTCACTCGACCGAGGAAGCCAGCGAGGGATCTCTTTTGATGTTCAAATTCGACGGGCGATTCTTCCACATTTTCGTCGCAGGCAGGACCTTCGGGATCTTTCTCCTGTTCCGCTAGTCGAATGATGTTGTCGTCTTTTCGCCGTTCTTCAAGATTCATTATTTAATTCTCAGTGTCTCAGTATTCTACAGTTCAAGTTAATTAGCATTCACTCGTCGAAATCAGCTCGCCTCTTTCACTTCTACATTTCGAAGATAAGCGTGATTTACAGAATGATTCGCTGAAAAAAGGAAAAACCCAAATATCCTGGTAAGATATTCGCTCAAAGGATGAAAAAACTCTTAGCAAAAACTACTTACACTAGCGTGAATCTCCGAGTCTTCGTTTCTAAATCTGAATTCTTCTGTTCACGTCCACTACTAGCTCAAACTGAATTTTTAAATATAGCGCTAGAAT